AATAAGATGAACAAACAAATTAAATAGGCTTAGAGTGCCTTGATAAGTACTGTACAAAGTAAATGAAATAATATCAGTAGGAAAAGCATTAATAGATGAATATTTATAAGAGCAATATGCTAAAGAAATTGAGACTTGGAGGTAATGATGTTAGCTCATAAGTAGGATAAGCATTTATGGAAGCACTTTGCAAGAATACTGCATTAATTTCTCTGGTCCCTATTGTAACAATCTTGGACTAGAAGGAGGTTAAACATTACTAATACACATTGCAAGAACACTATTCAAACCCCTTTAAATATGAGAGATAATGCTCTTGGATCAGAAGTGTGAAAAGCACCAGTAGATGTATTTTGTTACATAGACCTTTGCCAAAAAAAAAAAAAAAAGGAAGAAAGAAGAGAGAAAAACGGTGCTTTTGCATTATTTTCACGTCATTCCTGTGCCTATCAAACAAGTGAGATAATGATGTATTTGCTAATGCATTTACATTAAAACTCATAGCGATGCTTATTATATGAAAGTGAACAAAACAGTGCATTTGCACTAAGAACCTGTGGCGATGCTTATCGTATGATGAGTAGATATGAAGAGTTATATGCAGGTTTAAACAAATTATTGGAAATTGAACCAAATAATGCATAGGTACGTATTAGAAATTCTTGGAGATACTTATCATATGACGAAGAATCACCTGCAGATTTAAATGAATCATTAAAAATCGTAACAGATAATATATCTGCTTTAAGAAGAAATCAAACAAAATAATGCATTTGCAAGACATCACATTGATTTCCCAGATCTTAGTGAATAATCTTAGATCAGAAGGGGAATAACATTGGCTGATTTACTTTGCAGTAATATTTGTCAAAGATTTGAATTTACAACATAACAGACTTAAGAAAAGCATTATCATACATGCTTCGCAGGAACAGCCTGTTGAAAAATATGCTACTTTTTCACAATCCTCTTTTTTCTTCCATATTGTATCTTGATCAATAAAGTTGATCCGAGTGAGAATAATAGCCCTATGCGTTGATGATAGTCACACTAGGTTATTATCGCAAGGATTACCTATTTGATCTGTGTAATCTGAAATAGTATTTAAGGAGTAGATAGATAATCGTGATCGACAGTGCATTTTTCCTTCACTGCCTGACTTAGGTCTGGCTTTTTTATGTATGGTCCCACCCCACCCACCCTAAGAAACTGTTGTGAATTGGAGTAATAAGAGACCTGCTTGCCTAGAAATATTGAAATATGAAAATTAGTAGTCATACAACTGATGAATTCCTTGGATATATTCTAGTGCGAAAGCCAACGCAAATGGTGTTAAAATGGTTCGAAGTGCTACATTAAGGCATTCAATTATCTTTGAAATCAGTCAACATGGACCATGTAAAAGGAACATATGACGGTTAAGTGTATATGTATAGTAGCAAGTAGAATACGCCACACTATAGCGTGGGCCCGTACTTGCTTCTTTAAAAAAAGTAAGAACCAGAAAGTTGTGCATGTGTAGCAAGTAAAATACCAAAAAAAAAAAAAAAATTACTAAAATGGTGGAATGATTTTTGGTCTATCATCAATTGGACCAGAAAATTGGACTAGCTAAAACCTTTTAGCTTTGAACAATATATTGAAAAATCGGTTACCTCATATACCTCATTTTCAAATATCCGGAGATGACATTGTTGATAATGTAGAACTATACAATCTTGGAAAAAGGTCTTTGGAAAGATATACTAAAAAGAATTGCAAATTCAAACCACCAAATACCATCAATAGTTCTTCGACTCCTTCGTATGGTCCCACCCACTTCCTGCTTCTAAAAAATCATTGAAGATCGGAGTAGCAAGAACTTTCTGAGAGGGTTTACCTGAAAATGTTTGAATATAGAAGTTAGTGGCTATGAATTCATTAGATATATCCCCGGTGTAGAAGCTAATGTAGATAGTGTAAAAATGGTTTAAAAATTATATATATAGGACATATAACTATTATATATATGTGTAGCAAGTAGAATGTGCCACACCATAGCGTGGGCTTGTGTTTGCTGCCTCAAAAAAAGTAAAATGCAGAAGTTACATGGTTGTGCAGAGCAGAGGCTAATCTAAAATGGTTAAAGATCCTATATAGGGTGTGAATTAGCTTCTGACACTGTTTTTTAAATGCCATGGATCGCAAGAATAGAATGTGGTTTTGAATGAAAGGATGGAAAACGTTGCCATATGACCCGATCCAGTTTTGGTGAATTGATATTCGAAAAAAAAAAAAAAAAAAGTGAAAGAAATCGAAAATATTACCTTGAGCTGAAAAGACTAATATGATTGAAAGTGTGGAGATTCGTGAACAAAAGGACACCCTGAGAAGCTTCCAAAATAATCAGTTACAAAATTTACAAAATAGTGTACCAATTTTGGAAAAGTATCCATATAAGATCTTGACTTTGAAGATTTTACTCAAAAAAATGCGCTGGTCTCTCTTATTAAATAAGATAATTTACAAATGAAAGAAGAAATTTTATTAAATAGAGAGCTGCACAGAATCCAGGCTTATCATCAATTGGACCAAAATATTGGACTAATCCAAAGAATAGCGAATCCAAATTGACAAGTACCATCAACAGTTCTTCCACCCTGAGTAATTTTGAAACAAGAATTGCCTACATGTATGACGGCTGTGAACCTAGAAGAGCTTTTGGTCAAATCTTAATATACAAATATAGATGTTTACGGGTTGGTCTAGCTTATGTACTGGTTGCTGAACCAAGCGAATACAACCATAGTAATAAAAGGGAGAGAAGAAAAGTAAAATACAAAAACCATAGCACTTTACAATTCTGTCTCTCTTTTATAACCTGATTATGAACCCCTCGTGAAAGAAAAAAAAAAAAAAAAAGAGACCTTGAAAGACGATCTTCAGGAACATCTTACCTTGATAGCAAAAAAAAAAAGAAAAAAAAAAAAAAAAAAAAAAAAAAAAATTTGCCATACCATAGGGTGGGGCCCTACTTGCTATTTAATAGAAAGAAAA